AAAACGGTTTCCACCATCTGATCGGTGATAGCCCGAATCAGGGTTGGGCTCATCAATTGCGTAACCAACCTGTTTTTCAGGTTCAGGGGGGACGCGTCTGGCGGCTTCCGTTGAAGCGTTTCCGCGGGATTGAAACCGATATTCTCCCGGCCGTTTCTGCGTCATTGGGCGATTATCGCATTTACGGGGGCGCAGCGGCCACATTACGATTGGGGCAGGGCCTTGAGAGCGACTTCGGAAATGCGACAATCGGCCCGGGCCTTGACGGGACGGATGCTTACGTTTCCACAAGGCCGGTCGCTTGGTACGCCTATGCCGGGCTGGAGGGGCAGGCTGTCGCATATGATTCGACGTTGCAAGGTAATACCTTCTACGCTGTCAGCCCTCATGTTTCCAAAATGTGGGATCAAGGTATGATCCACGCGGGCTTTGCCTTGATATGGCGTGGATTCCGCTTCTCATACAGTCAAAACTGGCAGACAGCTCAGTTTAGAAAGTCCAAAGCTGGCCTTTTCAATTACGGCTCGGTCAAAATATCCGCTAAATTCTAGTGGCCGTCCATATAGGGTGTGATGGCGCCTTCCTCTGAGCTTTTAGGAGCCCCAACGAGGAAGCCCTGCACCTCCTCGTATCCGTAGGACGCCAGAAACGCCATCTGATGCTCCGTCTCTACGCCTTTGGCGCAACAGATGATGTTAAGGCTTCGGGCGAGGTGGACGATATGCTGCAATATACGCCGTGAGCGCGGGTCCGCTTCCAGCTTGAGGAGGAAAGACCTCGCTACCTTGATCTTGTCCACAGGGTAGAGCGAGAGACGCTCCAGTGAAGAATAGCCAGAGCCGAAATCGTCCAAGGCGATTTTGACGCCCATGGCACGGATTTTTGCCAGTTCCCGGTAGACGCTTTCTGATGGTCCAAAATCTGTTTTCTCAGAAAAATCGATTTGAAGACGGCTTGGCGGAAGGGAGGTTTCTGTTAGAACATCTTCGATCAGCCTGGCGAGCCTCTCATGACATAGCCATGAGGGGGAAATATTGACGCACACCGTGAGGTCGTTCTGCCACAAAGCAGCAGCGCGGCAGGCTTCCTTAAGACTCCAGGCATCAACGCACTCGATTAAACCGGACGTTTCAGCACAGGGAATGAGGGTCGCGGCTGAAACCAGCATGCCGGAACCGGGACGCTGCCAACGTAGGAGTGCTTCCCGGGCGACGATGCGCATCGAGGAAATGCTCGTAATCGGCTGCCATTCGAGGAGAAATTCCTTTTTGTCGAGCGCGGCGATAAGATCCTGCTCAAATTGCTGTGGTGCACCAGGACATGGTGTTGCGTCCAGCTCGGGGAGTAAGGGGCTTTGCCGTCGGCGCTGCCGCTTTTTTTCC